TACATATAAAATATTTATCTATATAATATTATATATAATGATAATTACACGTTTTTTTTTAAAACTTTTTTCTGACCTTCGCCCACAAAAAAGTATTACCTGTTACAATTGTGTTACAGGTGAATCTACCATGTGTCATTTTTTGGTCAATAATTAACGAAAGACTTATTAGTCATACAAACGTTCTTGCAGTAAAACTTATTAATCATGATTCGCGAATAAATTACACACGTTACACATATACTCACATTATTTATCTAGGTTCAAAAAATCTATAATGCTGTAATATTAAAAATGGAATAGAAGAAAAATGATGGGATAAAAAGGCGTTCTAACCAGAGACTGTTAATAGATTCATCAAGTTTTGTATACTAATTGAGGATGGCAATTAGAAAATATATTTTTAATAAAAGGAATGGTCAATGGAAATTTTCAAAAACATGGATATTTTATCGTGCATATTTAAAAATTTGAAAATTTCGAAAATACAAATAACATCGTGTTGTCTAATAAAATATTCAATCAAATATAATATTCAAAATAATTTTCGTCTGCAGAGACATTTACAATACATATTTTTAAATGTATTGAATTTTCCTTGAATGGAATCTTAATGTGCAGCCTCAATAAATTTCGAGGGAAAATTGATAATAAAATACTAATTAATTTGTTGAAATGCAGAAAAATATCACAATATCAAAATTTTACCGCAGGGATAATAAATATATTATAAAATTGTCAGTTTATTTATTTCGACATAATCTCTACTTTGATATATACAATTTAATATCAGAAAACTAGTCGTTCGAAAATTTTATTAATTCGGACATTTCTCCTTATAAGTTCGAATTTTTATTGTATGTCTTTTGACAAAATATCATACTGTCCAGCAAGACACGATCAAAACGTAATTTGAAGAATTACAATAAGACAGACGAAACTCACTGACTAATATGTATCTTCTGTAGGAGAAGAGAAACTCCAAACGGTGTGTAAGTTCAACTGACAGTGAAACACATAATTGTAAAAGACAAACATATGAATAGGCAATTCAGTATAGGACCCATTGACTGAGAGACAATTCGAAAGACAACGAATCAACCGAATCAACTACTCGGTCTAAAACATTCTAATTGCACAATTGTACAATGAATTGTTAATAATTCATTCAAGTGATCAACGCTAGACTAAGTAATTCAAATTGAAAAAAATTAATAAAGTAATTAACTGATTTTTTTCCTTCTACCATGATCCGCCACATTCCACGCCGAAAGAATCGAAAAATCGAGAAACGAGTTCGCGCCAAATTGTTGAATTCCGTTCGACGTGCTTTAAATATTTTAATATTCGTTCGTTCGTCGATGAATCGGAAGCGAGCAGTTGCATCTCGATGGAACAAAAAGCTCAACGTATCGACGCGAAAAATTACCGATTCAATTGCAACATCTGGCAAAGACAATCTGTTTGTTGCGCTCGTTGGAACGTGTCTCGGAGCGATACGCGTGGAAAATCGTTTCCCAAGGAAGGTTGAAATAAAATTATCCCCCGGAACGATGAATCCATCGAAACGAAATTCGTCTGTTTATTCCTCGTGTAAGAATCGCGGTTGCTAATTCAACCTATCAATGGTCGAGCAGTGGGTTTGTTAAAATGTTATCAACACTTCGATATGTTGATACATCTTAGAATGAAAAGTTCTAATTTTATAGAACGAAAAAGTTTTATAAAATTTATTTTAGCCTCCTATTAAAATTCAGTCAAATATATTTCAATTATGTTAAATATATTATTTCTATTTTTCATGCAACACAAAAATTCCGAATTTAACTACTAAAGTGGTCACGAAATGATTAATTTATAACTTTCCTATGGAAATTTTATATATTTATAACAATATATTCTTAGAGACTCGAACGATTTTTAGCGAAATCATGTTCTTTGTTTTATCATAAACATTTTCCTGTTTCTGCTACAAATTTCATATTTTAGTCAGTAATTCCAGCGTTAATTATGATAAATTATTCCTTGGTCCTTAATAGGTGAATTATGTTCGTGAAGATAATGTAATAATAATGCATTTACAGTCTAAATGGTAAAGTGTTAATTTTGAATTGACGTTGTTTATCGAAATAGAAAGAGACTGCCATACTTGTTAGTCTCAAAATAGCGTAATAACAAGGGACGAAATCGGTCACCCTGTAATATTAGCAAAATACAGCGACGAAGTAATTTTCCCTGTTAATTTTCTATCTTTATATCGTGGTGCGCGTACGTGTATATCGTGGCAGGCTGGCTCTTCCTTTTTGGCCGTTTGTTTGTTTGTTTGTGACGCAAATATTCTTCCATTCTCCGGCGTTCCCTGAATTAGGAATTCCTGTTTTCTCGTTTTTTCTTAAGTAACGGGCAACACGAAGATCATGTGTTCTTTTTACCCTCCGTTGAATAGTTCCCTGCTGCGTTCTCCCCCTCGCGATGTATTTCTGCTTAATCAACGTGTACGTGAAATAAACGACCGAGAGAAATCGATGTATCTCGCGAAAGCATCAATTTTCGTGGCTTATTAAATCTAATAACTGTTGTTAGCCTTCGTTATTAATTTTTTTTTTTTTTGCGTGTTCTCTTAAGATTCGCGTTTCATAGGGTGTTTACGCGAATTTATTTTCTTTAATAAAGACATGAAATTCTATCGCGACAGTAGAGCTGTCCTGGTGAAAAAGATATTGAAATACTAAGTTGATGTATATAAAATGCTGTTCACTCAAATTTAACGAGCTACTATTGGACATTAAATTTCATCCTATTCTCAATTAGCAACAGTATCAAGAAGCTAGAAATTTATCGATTATCAAATTTCAAATGGATTTTCAAATGAATTTTCAGATTTGATTGAATAGTTGGAGTATTTATACTGAGATAGAAATAATAAATGCAGCATTAAAAACATCATGAGATAATAAAGGATTAAATAAATTTTCAGGCGTACTTATTTAATGATATTGATTATGATTGATAATATGATATTCATTATAATTATTTAACGCTAGAACAGATCATAAAGACTAATTTATAATTTTCTAGAGTAATTTACAATATTGCATTTTTTAGAGGTTTAAACGATTCTTGTAAAATATACGGATAAAAGTTTATTGTATCATAAACCTTTTTCTATCCCTTGTATTCTAATTTCTCTGATACAATTTTTACGCTTTGTCGGTAGTTCTAGTGTTAAAATTAAACTAGCAGCTTCAGTGATACAAGAATTAGTCCAAATTCACACGACGATCTTCTTTGAAGAACAAGCGAGTGAAATAATATGTAGACAAAGGTCGAGTTGAGAGGGGAAAATGTTCATCTACTAAGCCTAACTTTCGTCGTGAAAAGACCGCGAAGCCAACAGGTGATATTTGAAAAGTTTCACGACATCTCGCTAGATTTATTCCTAGATTATTTTCGTGTACGGAAAGGATATCCTCGAGGATATCCGACTTTCACTGTGCCACTGTCAGAACGACAGAATGTACTTTGTTCTTCTTTCTCTCATAGCTTCTTTTTTTTGGTATTTTCCACTGCACTCTAAGTGCAATATCGAGCAAATTTACATTAACAAATATCTGTTTCGCTGGACTTTTTATATTTTCACAAATAATTTGATTCGTCAGATGCAGCGAAAAAATTTATAGCAAAATTGTTGACACAATTTTTTTTATCGTTGTCTGAAATTTTACGCAACGCTCTGTTTATCTCGTTACATTTTACAAAAAAAAAAAAAAAATTTATTTATCAAACACCAGCTACTGAAATAAAAATCGAAAGTTAACAAACGATTAAACTTAATCTAAAATTGCTGATATCATTGAACCGTTCGATAGAAGTGTTGAATAAATTAATAATAAAGTCCGTTCAACGCAAAGGTGAAATAACCAGCAGCCATTCTGCAAGCAAAACTTCCGGTTAAAAGCCAGTCTGCATTTCGGCGCTTGATTCTGACGTCGTTACCATTCTGTTTTTCAGGAGGTGGATTACGGTACCTACAAGTGCGTCGCGAAAAACCCACGTGGAGAGACCGATGGCACGATTCGTCTGTACAGTAAGTGTCGTTTGTTTACTCGCATTTTAAAATATCCCGTGGGAACGTTTGTCGAGCTAATGACGGATCGTCGCGCTGAGCATGCCAGTTAGCCGGTTCGCAAACGAGATGCAATTCTGTCGTCATTTCGTGTCGAGAATTTTTAGGCTGTTCCGTGTACCGCCATAGTCTTGATTAAATGTTATTTACTCTTCACTTCCATGTCGGCCAGCGTTTCTCTCTTGCTTTCTTTCCATTTGTAATTAAAGCGTTTTACAATGATTTTCATTACACGATTACAGTGATAACAAAAAGTATTTGCATATTTATTATATTTATCGAGTTCAAACATATTAAATTTTAATAGTTACCGAACACTCTTGTTTAAATATTCTAACACCCGAACGTTGTTATTATTCAAGCCTATGACCAGAATATTTAACAATAATAAATACCCTGTACTATTGTACTATTTTTATATTATATTATATAATTATATTTTACATTTTATTACATCGTTCGACTTTGCCTTGACCAATTACAAAAAGGCGAGATTTTATTAAAAGTTATATTTAATAATAAAGTTCATTGACAAATCAAAATTTTTGTGATTAACAAAGTGGAGCAATAATAAATACACGTATATAAATAGAAATATACGAAACGTTCAAAGTATGATACTCGTTCTAATATTCGACAATTGAAGTAAATCTGTTTCTTCAATCACACCCATCAAAATTTAAATCTGCACAAATATTCCGAATATCCAGATTTGAATCGTTCAGATTTACACTTCTGCAAAATTCTACCGTGAAAATTCCAAAGTGAGAGAGACAATAAAGACAAAAAAAAAAAAGAAGAAGATTGGGAAGATGCTACCGGGATATGAAAATTGTTCGCCAAGTAGAGGAAGAGCGAAACACGTCATTTACTACGAAAGCTGAGCGATCGGTTTCTCAGCCGACGCGTTCGATCTCAAATCGGATTCCACTAATTCAGGTTTCCTCAGCAAATATATACGCGCAATTAATTAACCGCCTGGAAGCCTCGAGGATCGCTTTTGCGGCGATCTATTAATCCGTGATTAAATCGTTCGCGAAATCGCGCGGAAACGCCGTTATCCTCGACCATCGTCCCGGTTACACCATTCGATTTCAGACGTCGAGCAATTGCTACTGATTCTCGCTATCGTGCAATCTCATCGACAATTTCAAACAGAGAAAATTAAATTTCCTCGAGAACATCCTGTTTTCTTCATATACTTCTTTTTCCTTTTTCATAAAAAAGAAACTCTTGCGGAATACTTTAGTAAATCAATGGAATTCGTCGTGGCCGATATGACTACGAAAATTTGACTTAATTAGATTGACAAATACTTGATTTATTTACGAAAGGTGCATATGATACATTCGCGAAATACTCAAACCTAATCTGTGAGCCTTTCGGGGACCAAACTGATCAACCCCATTTTTAACTAACTCCTTAATCTCGTTACACAAATCGATACTCGACTCTCGAGAAAGTGATGATTCGTGTTTCTAAGTTCGTTCATTATAAGAGAATGACATAAGTAGGCGAATTTGAAAAATTTAGACGTCTAGACTGTCATCGGAAATAACAAAACACAGGTATTTAGAGAAATGAAGCTAAACTTTCCAGTTTAGAATCTGCGCTATTCTATTTACATTCGCCACCTCCAGAACTTGTTACAGTTAGAACTAGAGATCGTGAAAAATAGAAAAATCCTCGATTTTCGTCGCTGTGCAGCTTCTTCGAAAAGGGCGCGCGCGTGTCGCGCTTAACGTATGCATATGGTATAAAGAGCTGGCCGTAGAGATGGGCATTCGGTGTGTAAACGCGCGTGCACGTGAACGCCACGTACGAACACGTGCGAGCGGAGGGGTGATTTCGGTGTGTTCGGCTGGTATCCCCGACGGGAAAGGACGAGAAAGAGCATGGGGACCGCTCTCCATTAGTATGCATCGGTTTTTCGCATTAGCGACATTCAAATGAAGCGAGCGTTTAGCATAAAAGGCTACCAGGCAAGAAAAAGGCTACCGGTGATCCCCTGCAGGCGATTACCTCTGTAAAACCGGACGAAAACCAGCCGGGATTCGTGGGAATCCGCGTCCACGGCATTCTGCTTCTCCTCCTGGATGAAGATGAGCCGCTTGCTCGTCAAACACTCGCAATGTGTCCACGAAGATTTCGGAGTCGCGTAGTTTTGAAAAAGCTGAAGGAAATTCTCCGTGAATTTAAGACAGCGATTCTTACTCATTTTTATTTCATTCATCCGTTCGTTCAGCATCATTTTTATAGTGGCGAACGTCTTTAAGGGTTCGAGCAAAATTTAGCAACAAATTTTGTTAATTATCAAAGAGCAAACATAGACACTTTATAGGTATAAATTACATACGGTTCTCACTATAAATGTTCGTAATCAATGATGATAAATAACAAAATACTATACACATATAATAATGTATTGAAAATTAATTTGCGTATGTGCATGTGATATTTTGACAGTCAAGTTATTAGGGACCAAAATTGACGCAACATTTGCAATTCTTTTTAAAATCTTAAAAAATTAAATTATTTAAAATCTTTCAAAAAAATTACATCAGCAAATTTATATCTTTTAACGTTTCAAGCATTTGCTTATGAACAATATTTTTTTTATCATTATGTCTTCTACATTCTATAATTTTATAAAATTTTAAACAAATTGAAATACTTGTAATACTACGATAAATTATTGCCCTACTGGATCCTTAATGGATCAATAAATTTTGTAATAAAATTTCGTTCGAAGCTCCATATTTTATTAAGAACAGTTAAGACATCGAATACTTTGAACGATCAGAGACTGTAAATGATTGCGATGATTTACTATACCAAATTTTAAAACTTATTGTGTACGTAACTCTACTTTGTACTTGACATTCTCCAACATGGAGATAAACTAAAATTAGATGAATCAAAATTAAGCTATACATATATCTAGCTATAAAATATTTATATTAATCTGAATTAATTAATTAATTAATATCTATATTGTCGTCATTTTATTCTAATAATTATTGGATAGTATTTAATGCCAGAAAACTAGATATAATAAAAATTCCGATACGAGTCTGCCATATTGGTATACACGGTCGGCTAGTCATGGGTTAAATTTTTTTCGAATCTTTCAGTTTTACTAAAACAATGCAAAATTCGTCGAAAATTTTTAGTGACCCTGGTCAAGGACTGTAGACACCCTTCCTCATCGAACAACGTTCAATGTTGCTGTTGTTCGCGTTCAAACAACATCAGCTAGTTCGCCGGATGGACTATTGTTGTTTCCGATATATTGATCAGTTCCCTATTGACCTTTGCATATTGTAGGTCTCCGGCTGTTGCAATAATTAGGTCGCGACCATTATTAATCCTGTAGGCAAGCGAAACTCGTATGTTTTGTAATAAGAAACTACAGGGACTGATATCTCGATGGTTTAGAAACGTTCGAAGATTTTCGTAATGTCTGATGTTCAAAATAATTGGAGATTCTCGGAACGCGAACATCTATGGAAAAATCGACGCGCGAGAACTTTGAAATTTGTTAAACTTTGGTGACCTAGCTCACTCCTTTTAATGAGAACAGCGGCCATTTCTCCGTGGCCATTTTTCTGCAAATTAATATTTTTGAGAGTGTAGTTTAAAAAAGTAGAAAAATTATTCTCTATATTAAATGTTATAAAAGTCACTGTACTTCAAACATTGTACATACGTATATTTTTATATATTCTATTCTGTTGTTAGGAAATTTTCCCGAAAGAATATTTCCATATTCTCTCCTACTACGGGAAATTTTAAATTTTAAATTTTAAACCCTTGTAATTATTTTCAAACTGTTTGTCATACTCATTTTCATGATAGATCTATTAGGATAAAATTATAGTTGAGAAAGACTAACTAGAATAAAATCGAAGCATAAAAGTAAAATCGCGAAGTTAGTTATTGTTGAGTGCTATAGCAATCTAGACTCGCATTACTTTATTCTGAATGAATTTTATTACTAGAAGAAATATAGATTAACAATTAACGAAATTTATGTACGTTCGAACTCGTCAGTCCTATTAAAATCGTATAAAATTCCTTAACTTTCACAAAAATTATCTAAGAAAATTGGCGATATCCTAATCGAACAGTCTTCGGCCATAGATCTCGATTTTAGTTACACACGCAACTGTATTCCAAGTGGGCCATTTAACAGGCAGGAGCACCCGTGTAGCTGTAATTTTGAATTATTGCGCGATAGAAACGGAGCGGAGGGGGAAGCCGTTGAAATTAGTCGACTGCTGAAAGCCACGTTGAATAATCGAATATGTTACAATGTCCGTATATTCGTCCCTGATTTCAACTGCGTGTACAAAGCATCGCTAATAACTTTTATCGTCATTGATTGTTATCAGTTATCGGATGCGTGGGATTAGCGGATTAAATCTCGCAGAACGATCATTAAAGGCATTCTGCACGCTCGTTATCTAATAACGTGCGGCTTCCAGAAGAATGATATCAATATTCTGCAACACTCGCGACAGCTAGTCAGAGTGACGTCCGCATACGATTTATTACTTAATTATTAGAATGATTTCGTAATCGTCCCTTTAATTGGGGATAACGAGTTAACCCTTTCAGTTCTACTTGAATGATTTAATCTTGAAGTTTCATTTCGGCCCACGAAGTGAGAGATACTGAATTCGAGAAGATCCACTCGATGACTGCAAATTGAAAACTGGGATATAGGCATTGCGATAAAATTCAAGTCCTATATTTCTCGTGCTAGAGGAGCAATTTAGCACAAATCTGAAAATCACGCGTTTCCTGCTCCATTGAAATTCAGTTAGAAATTAAAGAAGTTTACGCTGATTGTTAACCATTAATCTTTTGCAAAATTCAAATTGGAAGTTCATTGTTTTGCGTACGATTAATCAGTAACTCGTGCGATTTTTCTAGCTAACTGTATGCTTCATACAGACATTATATTTCTTTCCTGTGTGTGGGCTGCATATTTTTAAATACCTGACACAACTCTCTCGCACGGCACAATGGAAGGATATAAACAGAAAGC